AATTTATTAAAAATATTAAATTTTTTTTAATTATCAATCTTAATATTTTAGTACGGCAATCCTTTCTCTTAATCACCCACAACCATTAATCGGACATCCCAAATTGTATGGGGGGATGAAAGGAGAAGTAAGGACCAACATAATGTTATGTACCTTACGGCAGAATATTACCCCCACATGTTATTACTTTTGCTAGGGGGCCTGAGCCCAAGCAGCAGCCCATATGTGAATGGTTTGGGGCTAGGTGGTAAACGGGGCCCAACAAAAGTTTTTTTACCTGGCCGGCCTGATCAGGTGAATTTTTTTGACTCTTATCGTGGAGTGGATCAGGATGAGTCTGCATCAGATGGCTATTATTTTCCCCATGGTAGATTTGAGCGGTACCCATGTTTTGCCCTCAGAAAAAGGAGTTTTAACATTTAGTTCACTTCAGGACAGGTTTATCGTTCCTTGTCAGTTTCACCACCAAAATGAAATTAGGTTACAAGCTCTTTTACATTTTGGACTGGTAATTTTTTCAAAGAAGAATATTTTATTTTTAATTTGAATTATATTAATCATTCATTTTTTATTTTAAAAATTTATTAATCATTCATTTTTTCTTCTCTTAACCTCGAGTGTTGTCTCAACTTGAAGCGCGGCTTTTATTTTCAATTTATGTTACCTTAAGGATTTTTTTTATTTAAAAAAAAGCTTTATTAAAAAAAGTATTAAGTGGTATTTAAATACCCTACACCTACAAGTAACCCACAAGTATTTATTTATTAAGATTACTTGTGTCTTGTGGGTTACTTTAAGGATTTATGACCTATTATCAAGAGATTTTTTTTTTATTAACTAAATTTGATTTATTAAAAAGATTGAGATATAGATTAATTTTTCATAAATTTTTTAGTTTTAGTATAAATTAGGTAATGAATCAATATTTATACAAAGAAAAGAGTCATGTTAAATAGATTTGAAGGTAATAATTACGGATGTTATTACTTATCCGAGGTGAATGTTAATAAATGTTAATAACACAGTGTGAACAAGGACATGCACATTGAATATATTATCAGTGGAAATGCAATGATCAAATTTAACATCATATAATGATTCATCTTGAAAAAAAAAAATTAAACATCATAATGCAAGGTGTGACAAATTGAATAATTTTAAATTGTTTTAATTATTGAGATTTGGTTGTTTGATTATATAGAAATGAAATTGATTTTATCAAAAAAAAAAGGAAATAATGATAGTCAAGGGTTGGAGGAGCGTGGAGGCTTTGTCCAACATAATAGTTTATCAATGAACTTTGATCATTCTTCTGGA